AGAAGCAAAAATAATTAGTGAAAAGGTACTGATGGCATCAATTATTCTGAAACAAAACAAGCATCTAAAATCAGCACAATACCGTTGCTTCAGAGACTTGACGCATTTCCTCAAACAGAGCAGCCTCCTGTTTATGGCGCCCACTAGTATCAACAATTATAAGATCACAATTTTCCTTCTTAAATCTCTCCACACCTTCCACAGCAATTTTCACAGGATCTGATTCCATGTAGCTGAATATATAGCAGAAAACATCATTCTAGTTAATTAAGTGCACATTAAAGCGATGGATACGCAACTAAAAATATTCTCCAGAGTTAAAATCCACAGCAGGAATGACGACTATAAAATCAACAGCATATACTCTCAGAAATTATACGAAAAACAGTCATTTCAATCCAATAGGGTGGAAACCATTGAGGGCATTTCATGCACGTTAGATACTTTCATGCATACGCATACACAATATGAATACATAGAAAGGTGTGCAGATATGCATTACTCATCAAGAAACATAAAAGAAAACTAGCTAAATACATAATATCATGCAAATATTTTCACACTTCCCTCTTATGCCCTTTTTGCATGAAAAAGAAAAAAACAACAAAAAATTAGCTATTAGCCACATGCCTCATATCATTGATGAAAATTATCCTAGAGTCAACATTATGCTCCTTTTCACATCCCCATTCTAAGAATTAAAGGGCTTCAAACAAAGTAACTACCATTATGTGAACCAACAGTCAATCCAGATCCTAAATGTCCATATGTGGCCACAACATCGAATGAAAATGACGTAAGTACCTTCCATAAAATGGAATCTTAGCTTTAGTGGCATTCTGCTTCAACTGATCAAAAGCACCAGCTCTGAATGTATCAGCACAGACTAGAGCAGGTTTCCAACCTTTTTTCTGATGATAATATGCATACTTTGTACATGTCGTTGTTTTCCCAGACCCTGAAAATTTCCACAAACAGATATAAACGGAAAAATTCAGGTCTTCCATTTGAGGTTAACTGAGCAAAACATTTGATCCTTAGCAAGAAATTTCACAACAGTTATCACACAAAAATGGGCAAAGGCAGCCCTCGATACCAATTGTACTATAATTCAATCTATATGAAGATGTAGACGCAAAGATTACCTTGTAAACCTACGAACATCACAACACTTGTTTTCCCTTTCTTTGGAGTAAAAGACGGCTTCCCAGGATCCAACATCTTACAAAGCTCATTAAAAATTGCCTACAATGAAACACAAACCGTTTTAGAAATGATATGTAATACAAGTAAAGTATGAAAAAAAATTTTCTCCTTTTGCAAAATGTTGGATTAAAAGATTTTCCCATTACCTGAAATTTACATAAACAAAACCAGCAGAGAGCCATTAAATCATTTTTATCAAAATTTTGGAGTAAAAAACGGAAGACAAAAAACCTCATGAATTTTAGCATTGAATTAATTTACATAATAAAACCATGAAAGAAAAGGCAAAGGAAATTCCCAAAATTTATCAAATAATTCATATTT